AGTTGTCGAAAAATGTGAAAGCTTGAAATGGGATTTTTGATAATTCGACAGATAGCTGTCAAAATTTGGATGAGTTTTCGACAGCTAGCTGTCGAATATTCAACCAATTTTCGACAGCTACCTGTCAAATTAGATCTGTGTAAATTTTTTTTTTTTTTTTTTTTTTTTTTTTTTTATATTTTCGACACTTAGGTGTCGAAAATTGTATCAAAATTCGACACTTAGGTGTCGAAACTTAATAAAATATGAATTGTTATGTTTTCGACACATACATGTCGAAAAATAAGGGTATTTTCGACCTGTATGTGTCGAAAATACATGGCGAGTTTAAAAAAAAAAAAAAATTCAAAATCGATGTTTTAGCTCAAAAAATACATGAATACATACTTGAATGGGTTCTCCTTGCTCGTAAACTACCATTCTATTGTCATTTGACGCCATTTTGCAAGTTGTGTAAGGTTTTGATTTCTCTTGTTTTGAGGTTTTTTAGGAGGGTTTTTGGGGAGGGAGAAGAAGGAGGTGGAGGAGGTGAGGGGTTTGTGAGTGAGGAGGGGAAATGTTTTTTTTAGGTTTTTGATTATTTGGTATTTAAGAAAGAAAAATAGTATTTGTAATATTTTTTTGGTTTTAATTTTCATTAAGGGCATTAAAGTAATTTACAATTAATTATTTATTTTTTATTTTTTTGGTATTCAAGTAAACAAAAGTTAGTATTTGAAATAGTTATCCCCTTCTTTATTGGGTTTGTCTAGGGTCCGAGAGGGTTGTACTTCTCGGACCATAATAAACCAATAAAAATATGCCAAGTAGGATTAGTACGTACCCAGTAAAAAAAGTACGAACCCTGACTTATGAGTAAAATTACATAAAAGTCCTTTTTAATTAAAGTTAAAATTTAATTAGAAAAACAATAATTTAAAAGTTAATTACAAATTAAAATTTAAAATCATATTAAATTAAAAAAAAAAATCTCTAATACGACTTATCCTTTCACGATGGTTTAATTGTTTAACCCTAATCTCCTTAATCATTTTTTTTCATCATCATCATCATTATCATCAATTTCCTCTTGAAGAACAACTGGTTTTTCTGGCCGACAGCGGGCCGATGCCACCCAATTAAAAAAAATATTCGTTCATCTTGCTGTATTAATCACTGTAAACCTGCTCGGCTGCTCCCCTTTCTTCCTTTCAGACAGTCTCTTTCTTCGAGCCGCGTTTGGGGCTCTCTCATGATCACCATCTCTTCTTTGGGCAGAGACTCATTGTATGAAACTCGAGGATTTAAGAATCTCATGATAGGTTAAGTGAGGAGATGTAATGTGGTTTTTTGGATATGTTTTCTCCAAAGCGTTGCTTTCACTCTATCCGGCCACCAAGCATCCAAAAAACTTATGGCCTTTGGCTGATTGAATGACCAACTGTATCTAGAAATAAGAAACTAATCCCACCTCTACAAGAAACCTATGCATGATCACTAGATAAGAAATCTACTGCAAAGAAGTCGAGTTATATGACTGACTAGAATCCCTTCTAACCCTTCTGCTACAAAATAACTTTGAACATCATTCACCATTTTCAATTCATTTATTCGCCTCGCCTGTCGCAAAAAGATGGAAGATCAAAGTTTCGCAACACATCAAACTATCACTTTATCATCTATTTACATTCTTCTCTGCGTGAAAGCAATAAATCTCAATTAAAATCTTGATGCATTTTGTTTATGAGAAAAAAAAATGATACATATATGAAAAAAAAAGTAAGAAAAGTAGCTTTCTCTGCAATGTAAATTTTAAGACAAAACAACCTTGAAAACCTCAATACTAGATCCTGGAAATGGAACGTAGTTATGAAGTTCGTATGTAAAACTAATGTAGAAGATGTATTATTCTGCAGCTTCACTAAATATATACGAAATGAAATAAAAAAAGGATAATAGAGAAAGTCATAAGTAGAAACTTCACATTTTATTATTTGATCTCAATGTCCTTATTAATTACCAAAATTATCCGAATACCCAAAATCAACACCCTAAGGCTAATAATGACACTGAAACGTACGTGGACTAGTATCATTTTGGCAGCAAGATTGCTTCTCTTAATTTTCTCAAAGTTTGAATCTATTGCTTTCAGTTGTTCTACGTATCCGGCTGTTAATCAGCGAAAAATAGTTGTCCTCATACAAGATCATTCAAGAATATGAGATTTCTAAAACACTACAAAAGCTTAAATCTTTTCAAATGGGTGTTCCAAAAAATGTCCAAAGCATTTCAATTGTCACACGTCATAGCAAAGGCACAAATAAATATGTACAAAGTTAAATAAAAAAGAACAAAGCTTTGATCAACAATTGTTAATTTTCTAAGAAGATATCTTTCTCTCAGACATTCTATCAAACATTTGGTTAGCAAAATAAACAACAGATTAGACAATAACTTATTAACCTTTAAAAAATGAGATTGCATCCGTCTCCAAACAATTATGTGTTTTTTCTTGAACTCAGAACATTCCACTTGAGAAACCCATTATTGACTGTTTCGAGCGAGTAGTTTCGAGTGGAGGGTTTTGACAGGATTGGAGAAGGAGAGTTTTTAGTGAGTGTATTGAAGAATCGGCGAACGGGAGGCCCTATGACGACACGATGTTCCTCGCAAGTTCAACGGAGTGTCCCATGCTTCTCGATGCAGGTGGCCTTGAGCCAAGCTGCACCGCCTTGATAGTGGCGACGTAAGGTTGGAGAAGGTAAATGATAACTTATCTGGCAATAAACAAAAAAGATTTCGATCTCATGAGATTTTGGTTTTGAGGATGAACATTTGATTTTGTTAATTAATTATGATTAGTATAATATTTCTTAATTAATATTTTAATTTATTGATTTAAATTTATAAGGTTAATTAAGTAATTTATATCAAGTACGATGTGTGTACGATGGTGTACGACGTGTTTCTGTTGTGTTTGTACATTATTTTTCCAAATTCTAGGATCGTACTACATCGTACTAGGTCGTACACAAAAATCAATGGATCAGATTAAAAGTTAACAATTTTAAACGCACTTGATTAAATAATTTACGGTCCGAGAAGTACAGCCCTCTCGGACCCTAGACAATCCCTTCTTTATTCTGTTGTTTTCGATCCGAATATTTTTAATTTTAAAACCATATTTTTCCATTTCAAATTTTCGAAATTTTGATTTATGATTATGTAACCGGAATTGGTTTTTCACCTTTTTTTTTTTTTTTTTATCGAAAGTGTTAATTTTGAATTGATCAATCCGATTTTCATCGCTAACTAGAAGTCCGAAGACTTGTAAATATACTAAATAGGGCAAATTATGGTCACCCATGAGTTATGGTCAAATAAGAAAATTCTCCTTATGTTCGGGTAATTACAGTCACCCTCATCAATTATGTATTATTTTAAGAAAATACCCCTCCAGAGATAAATTTAGGAATGTTGAATCGATAAAAATCGAACCGAAATTTTGGTACACCAACATTTCATACTGTTTACCGAACTGAATATACGATTTAATTCGGTAACCGAATTACATAAATTTTATGTAAAAATATTTAAAAGGAGGGCATGGTTGTAAATACCCAAACAAGAGGGAATTTTTGTAATTTGGTTACTAAATATGCTAAATTACACTTGCCTCCCATGAAGTTAAGTGTAATTACACGTAGACCCTCTTTAAATTAAAACATTGCAGATACCTCACTTCCACCCAAGGTAGTTAAAATCGAGATCTAGATCTTAAAATCGTGCGATTTTAAGATTTTAGACACTAAGAAGGAGTAAACTCGGACTAAAATCGCAAGTACCTCAAAATCGTGTAAAATCGCGTTTGTAATCGTTAAAATCGTTAAAAACGCGATTTTAATGCGATTTCGGCGATTTTATTTTTTGTCTCAGTTTGGGCTGAAATTTTGAGTTTGGGCCCAAAAAACTCTATATTTAATAAAAAAAATCCAGCCCAATAGGCCCAATTTTATTTTTGCCCTAAAACATTTCAACGGGAAGAAAATCCCTTGAGAGAAAACAGAGTTTGTGTGACTGTGAGTAACCAATAGAAGCGGCTGACCGTGAGGAAGGCGGCAGCACAGGAGGCGGTGGTACGGCGGCGCACCGGCGAACGAGGCGGCGCTGCTTACTGGTGAGTGTTCTTTTTTTTTTTTTTTTTTTTTTTCCTTTTTTTTTTCTTTCTTCTTTCTTCTGCCTCTGTTTGTGAGTGTTCTTTTTTCGTTTTTTTTTCTTCTTTTTTTTTTTCTTTTTTTTCTTTCTTTCTCATGTTCTCTGTATATGGTGGTGAGTTATTTTTTTCTTGTTTCATTTTTTCTTTTTCTTTTTTTCGTGTTTGCAAGGCAGAAGCTGGTTGTTTTTGAAATTAAATATCGACAATTTCTCGTCTTTGTAATCAAATATTTACGTACACATTATTATTTATTTTTCAGATTCTTACTAAAATGTCGGGGGTTGCTTCTAGTTCTTCAGTCGTGTCTAAGAAAAAGAAGAGTAATTCGAAGAAGTCTAGTGGAAGTAGACCCGATATTGGGTGGGAACATGGCATTGACATTGACAATAATGCGAAGAGATCTCAATGCAAATATTGTACTAAAATTTTTTCCGGAGGTGTCTATCGTTTGAAGAATCATCTTGCTGGTACAAATGAAAATGTTATTGCATGTTTAAGTGTGCCAGATGAAGTGAAGACCCGTATGATTGAGAATCTAGCAACTCTTGCCGAAATTAAAGAGAAGAAAAAAAGGAAATTGTACGACACCTCGGGTTCGGTGAACGAAACACACCCCGGATTCATGGATCATGCTTCAAAGGGGAAAGATAAAGCAAGTTCGTACCAAACAACTATGAATCAACTACTCAAGAAGGATTTGCGAAAAAGCGCATGCAAGCGAATAGCAAAATGGTTTTATACGAGTGGGATCCCTTTCAACACAGTGAGAAATCCCGAGTTCGAGAGAGCATGTGAGGAGATAGCTCGACATGGTCCAGGTTTTAAGGGTCCCTCTTACCACGAGATTAGAGAGACTTTTTTGACTGAAGAAGTCAAGGAAATAGACAATTTCCTTGATGTCAACAAGGAGGAATGGAGTAAGATTGGATGCACGATCATGTCGGATGGTTGGACTGACAGAAAGAGAAGATCGATCTGTAATTTCTTGGTAAATAGTCCTAAAGGAACTGTTTTTTTGGAGTCAATCGATACATCATCCTTTGCCAAAACAGCTGAAAAGGTGTTTGAGATGTTGGATAAAATTGTGGACAAGGTTGGGGAAGAGAATGTGGTGCAAGTGATCACTGATAATGCTGCCTCATACAAAGCAGCTGGATCGTTGTTGATGGAGAAAATGAAGAATTTATTTTGGACACCATGTGCAGCCCATTGCATAGACTTGATGTTGGAGGATTTCGAGAAGAAGCTGCAAACTCACCGAGTAACAATAAGGAAAGGTAGAAAGATCACTACATTTATTTACAATAGACCAAATCTCATCTCTTCGATGAAAAACTACACCAAAGGAAGAGATTTGATTCGGCCAGCTGTTACTCGGTTTGCAACTGCATATTTGACTTTGGGTTGCCTTAGTGAACATAAGGGTTCTTTAATTACAATGTTTTCTTCATCAAGCTGGAAGGGAAGCACACATGCTCGTTCGGAGAAAGGCAAGAAAGTTCAAAAGATTGTGTTGGATAATAAATTTTGGAGTAATGTTGTGACATGTCTTAGGGCTGCCTTACCACTAATCAAAGTACTACGGCTGGTGGATTCAGATGAGCAACCTGCTATGCCATTCTTGTACGAGGAGATGGATTGTGCAAAAGAAAAGATCCAAAATAACTTCAACAATGTGAAATCAAGGTAAATTAATAATTTCATACAATTTTAATTAATTTATCTATTAATTTATTCGTGAAGACTTGAGTTTTCTTATTTATGTTTTTTTATGCAATTTTATAGATATGAGCCTATATGGAAGATCATTGACGAGAGGTGGAATAATCAACTCCATAGGCCATTGCATGCAGCAGCGCACTATTTAAACCCTAGGATTCATTATCGTCCAACTTTCAATGCTAATGATAGGGAGGTTAAAAATGGACTTTTTGATTCAATTGATAAGTTGGTAAAGGATCGGTTTGAAAGGCACACCATCATTGCACAACTTGATGCATTCCACCACGCACAAGGCATGTTTTCTAGGGAAGATGCAAGAGCATTGTTGGGGAAAAAACATCCAGCTGATTGGTGGAATACTTATGGAGATGATGTTCCCGAACTTCAAAAGTTCGCTATAAAGATACTTAGTCTGACTTGTAGTTCTTCGGGATGTGAGCGTAATTGGAGTGCATTCGAGATGGTAAATTTTTTTTTCATTTTATTATAATTTATAATATTTTTATTAAACTTTCTTAATTTTTATATTTATTTTATGATTTATTTATAGGTCCATACGAAGAAAAGAAACAAATTGAGTCAAAAGAAAATGAATGATTTAGTGTACATCATGTACAATTCAAAGTTGAAAGATAAAAAGTTTCGAAATATTGAGATCGATGTCGAAGAAGTAAATTCGGACGATGAATGGATTACGGAAAGAGGTGGAGATGTTGAAGATGATGTTGTTGAGATGGATGGAGATGAGGGAGGGGAAGATGACACTCATGGCTTTTTTGATGATGGTAATTCTCTTGATGAGAGTGATGCTAGTGAGCAAGATGTGGATGAAGATGAAGATGAAGAAAGGGAAAGAAGTATGGAGATGGTTGAGGAAGATGAAAGTGATGATAATGAGAGTGGGAGTGACGATGGACTTGATCCTAATGTCAACCTTGAAGATTTAAGCTAGTAATTTAGATTTTAATTTATGTTCAATTTATGTTAGACTATGTTTAATTTATGTTAAGACATGTTTTGTTAATGTTTGGATGTTTTATATTTGTTTGGACTTATTTTATTTGTGATAAGATGATTTTTAAGTAGTAAGTACTAACAATTTATATATATATATAACGGGTTGCAATTAATTTTACAAGCCGTGTAAAATCTTACGATTTTACGATCCGATTTTACGTTTCCGATTTTACTACCCCTCTCCGATTTCAAGTAAAATCCCGATTTTAACTACCTTGCTTCCACCTACCTGGGAGTTCGTGGGTGAAAAAAAGCCGAGAATCAGAGAGAGAATCTCCACCTTCATTAATTCAGCTATGGGGTCCGCCACCGCCGCGAATTCTAACGTTTTCGTCTACGGCAGCCTCCTCGCCGACGACGTCGTTCGCGTCCTCTTAAGCCGCGTTCCTCCTTCCTCCCCCGCCATCCTACCTGACTTGTCAGTCTCTCTCTCTCTCTCAAACACACACACACACACACAAATTTAAGGTGTAATTACACACACAAACACACGAGATGTGTTCAATTTCTTCTCTGTCGTTTTACGATGTAGGATCTTCGCGAATTTAGGAGATAAATTCAATCGTTGAAAATTGAAATGGTACAGCTTCTGATCCTCAATGTACAACCGTTTTCATCGGTCTAGGTCTAATCAATCATGATTCAATCTAGTAGTAATCGGAAACACAAATTCACGAAATTCCAGACTGATAACAGCTTAGGAAAAATTGCAGTTTTCATCCCTCAAGTTTGCACTAGTTTCATATTTAGTCCCCTGTGTTCACACAAAACAAGTTGAGTCCCTCGTGTTTCAACAATTTGACATTTTTTGTCATTTCCGTCAATCTACCGTTAGTCTGTCAGTTAAGAAAGTGAAGGACATATGCTTGATTCGCTTCGGTTAGCACTAACGGAAAATTAACGGAAATGATCGTAAGTGTTAAATTATTGAAACATGAGGGATTAAATGTGTGTTTTTGTGAACATGGGGGACCAAATGTGAAATCGAGTTGAACTTGAGGAACGAAAGTGTATTTTTTCCCAACAGTTTATAGGGGTGAGCAACAAAACCGAAAAACCGAACCGAAAAACCGAAAAACCGAGCCGTTTTAAACCGTACCGAATAGCAAACCGCATGTACGGTTTTTTATTTTTGAAATACCGAATTATTCGGTTCGGTATGGTTGAAAGGTAAATAACCGAACCGAAAAACCGAACCGAACCGAAACTATAAAATGACTTCATTTTATATAATATATATGTATTATTTTACCCTAATATTTATTTTCTGTCTTTCAATTACTTGTATCATTCTAAGCATTTGTTCATAAATTGAGACATTGTATTTTATTTGTTTAGTAATTAAAAATTTACTTGAGTTCATGGTTTTAATAATGTGGTAGATGAAAGTAGGAAAAAAAATGAAGCATAATACATCATCTATAAATTATGTTAAGTCCTATGAAATTAAAGATTTATATTTTCATTGCATTAGTAAGTTGTGAAAGTAATTGTAATTGTATTCTTTTGTTTGTACAACTTGAATATATAGTTACGCTTGAACCGAAAAATAACCGAAACCGAACCGTAAAAAACCGAAACCGAACCGAAACCGAACCGAAACCGAACCGATAAAAAACCGACATACACGGTTTTTAATTTTACAAAAACCGATATATTCGGTTCGGTCCGGTTTTTGGCTAAAACTGAACCGAACCGACCCGTGCACACCCCTAACAGTTTATGTTGTGCCATCAAAGATGTGATTTCTTTTTCTGTGATAAGCAAATATCCTGTAATTCATTGTTACCTTCTTTTCTGTATCGAGAAATTCGAATTCGTCTCAAATAACAAAATTGGGGGACATTGCATGTGTTGGTGTTATTGTACTTATAGTTCAAACTGCAAATTGTCTTTTTGGTAGAATGAATTGCTGGATAAACATGTATCTATAACGGTAGAGTTGTATCTTTATTCGTTGACGATTTTTTTTTTTTTTTTCCGTTTTTGTGTTGTAGCCATAGATTTAGCATCAAGGGACGTGTTTACCCTGCAATTCTACCTGTTCAAGATAAGAAAGTTATCGGGAAGGTTTTTTCATCGTTATTTTAGCATCTTATGCATTCAATAAACTAGAAATCATTATCTTCTGTTGGAGCAAAATCGGGCTTATTTATTTGATCATCGTACCCGTTTTCTAAACATTAATTTATTTTATTTTATTAAATAGGTTCTCATTGGCATCACTCCTCCCGAACTCGATATTCTCGACTCATTCGAGGACGACGAGTATGAAAGGAAAACTGTCGATGTTCTTCTCAAGGCATGTCAATTTGGTTCGCGTATTAGGAACCGTAATTTTAGCTGTTTATCGACATTGTTGTTCTCTTGAATTTGCAGGATAGTTCTGAGAAGTTGCAAGCTTACACGTATGTTTGGCTAAACAAGACTGATCCGAACTTATACGGCGAATGGGATTTCGAGGTGATTTGTTCGTTTTTCGATTGGAATTAAGTTATCTGCAGAATTGGTGTATTGCGTGTATCAGTTCCTAATCTTTTTTTGGCGTTTGATATTATCGTTACAGGAGTGGAAAGTAGTGCACATGGATAACTTCTTGAACATGACAAAGGGTTTCATGGAAGAAATCACGGCACCTGATTCGAAAACGAGGGTTGAAACGTATGAATCGTTCTATCAAGAGAAAGACAAATAATCGTGTTCCCATTTGTAATTAATTATATGATCTTTCAACTTATTTCCATGACTGTTATAGTCATCTGAATAAAGTTAAAAGCAAAAATTCACGTCGCACAAGTGATTTTCAAGGTTTCGGTTTTTTAATCAACGGTCAAAATATTTCCGTGTTTGGTTTCGAATCTAGAAATTCAGTAAATAAATGAATCGACACTCTGGAAGGTACTGAAGAACTGAAATGCTCAAGTAGTTTTCCATCTTTTCGATGAATAATTCTATTTTTATTTTTTATTTTTTTCGATTATTTTGTTCGAAACAGATTGATAAAACAATCGAGATAATAATATGAAAAGTCTCGAAATGGAGGGTAGAGATGGTAATTTAATTCCATTATTCTCTGCAACTTAAAAAAGTTCAATCTTTGCTCCGGCGACGAATTCTGAGATGGCCAAACTTTCCGGCACCCGGAGAAGAACCCTCGAAAACAATTGGCAGATATCCAGTTGCTCCTTTGTACCTCTTCTGAATCTGCACATTCAAATAAATAAATCCCACATTGAAAAAAAAAGGATAAATAAATCAAACACACTCGTAAATCGTCCAAGAACCAGAAACCGAACATCTTGAATAATTAATTTATTTTTTACTTGTTTAGAAAAAATGTAATTTATATAACATTAATATACCTGAAGAATTTGCTCACTGCTTCGCAGGCAATTTCTGCCGACGACGCAAACGGTGCCACCTGATCCTCCACCGGTAATTTTAGCACCATAAAGAGTTCCTTCACCCGACCGAGAAAGTTTACTGTGGTGCATTTCTTGCACCAGCTGTACTAGTCTGTCTGTACCATCTGATCCAAGCCCACATGCACTGTAGCTGTAGTGGCACTGTAGAGAAAAAAATAAAATATTAATACACGAAAAAAAAAATACGAAAATATAAAATGTGCCGATTTACCTGATACAATAATTCTCCGAGAGCAGTGAATTGGTCGTCTGAAGTCGAAGATGTTAGTAGCGCTTTGAAGGCCTGCAATTAATTCATATATGAAGCCAGTATTTTACGAATAAATTAATTTGAATATAAATACGAGGGGTGGATTTTTATATATTTTTATTTTAAATACCTTGACTCGGAAATTTTCGTATATAGGATGTCGAGTGGCAGCTCTGATCCCGTAATTCCTCTTGCTATCTATTACAGTGACTGGATCGTTGTGATCGGAAT